AAAATGTAGGCTAGGCCTGGTGGCACACACCTGTAATCCCAGCACTTGGGAAGCTGAGGTAGGAGGATCACTGTGAGTTTCAGACCAGCCTGAGCTACATAGTGAGTTCCAGGTCAGTCTCAACTACATAGTGAGACCCTGTCTCAAAAAAAATATGTAAGAAGAGGGCCAGGGATTTAGCTCAGAGGTGCCATTGCCTGCTTCACAGGTACAAGGTCCTGAGTTCGATCCCTAGTACAAAAAAAAATGCATAAGAAGAGTTTCTAAACCTTTCACCAGAATGATAAAGTAGTCCTTAGCACAAAAGGAGCTCAGGGCCACAAAATTAGTCCTCCTTGTACTATGCTTTCACACTGGGGATTGAACCCAGTGCATGGTGCATGCTAAGCACAAACTCTATCACTGAGCTATATCCCAAACTCCTTAGTCATTCTTAATATTGTTGATCCATTGTCCATTCAAAACACAAGAGTGGGTCTGAGGATGTAGCTCAGTGGTGCTGCACCTGCCTCCCAAGCCCAATGTCCTGAGTTTCATCCCTGATATAGAAACACACACACACACAGGTGATCTTTTAAAAGGGTAAATGCAATCAATATATTCTCTCATTAAAATATGAGACAAATGCAAACTCTTGACTTTGATCGACCTGCTCCTACAGGATCTGATTTTTAGCTTCCCTATGTCTCCTGTCATGGTTTTAAACTCTTCTATCTTCCACTCTCTGCTCCAGCTATACTGACCTTTCATTTCTTGGAACCCTCCGAGCCACTTTACACTCCAGGGTCTTTATTCTTGCCTAGAATACCTATTCCTATGGCAGCCACTTCATTCTCATATTCTAGTGATGAGGCACAACACCCCATTTGCAAACTCTCTACCTAACCATCCTAAGCAGCAGCCCAGCGCTATTCCACCTATGCCCGCATTTCTGTTTATTTGTTTCAAATCACTTATCACAACCAAATTATACGTTTTGTGTTGTCATGGAGTACTGAATCACAGTATCTAGAAAGGTGCCTGGCACCAGAAAAAAAACCTGATCTAAATGAATGAACGAGCAATTGAATGAGTGGCAAAATAGTTCAATGAAGTTTTTATTAATCCATTTGCAAGTGAAGAAATTGAGGCTCAAAAATGTTACATTATGTGAAAGTCATCTTAACTGGTGTCCTCGGCTTCCTCTGACCCTTCTACTATTCCTGTTACATTTCTGTCAACTAGTGGAAAGCAGAATAGACCTAATAAAAATATATATGGCCTAATTTCTTGGGAATTTAGTGCCCCACTGCTCAAGGATATGTGAACAACAAACCCTCAAAGCCAGTATTTCTAGGAGGGTTAAGCTAAGTGAAAATATATTTCTTGGACATGGCGATTTTCTCTGTCTGTATGTCTCTCTCTGTACATACACAAAATATTTTTTATCTCTGAATCTTGTAAACATGCAAACAATAGAATCAAACAGAAAGGGGAAAATCTAGAAAAGATAAATTAAGGAAAGAACAAATTAGATAAACCCAGGGGCAAGTGCTGATACAAAAAAATACATGTTACACGGCACTCACTCTATATTAGTTCATATGGCCCCTAATTTTGGCCACATACCTCCTAGTAGCCAGCACAAAGTGAGACACATAGATACATAATGTATTAAAGTAATCCAATCAATGCTAAGGAGGAGCATACCTACTTCTGTTTTTAAATCTTGAAATAAACTCCTCTTGTGGGTCCTTACAATGAAAGCATGGCAAGATATAGTCATCAGCATTCTAAATGACAGCCTTATAAAAAAATAAATATATCAAGATTCAAAAACACTTCTATATGTCTCAGTAGACATGGCTGGTATAACGCCAAAACGTGTGTACTATAGTATTGCCTTATTATTCAAATTATGGTCCATGGACCAGCAGCAACGTTAGCATCACCTATGGGACTTATTAGAAATGCAGAATCTCAGACCTTGTCCTAATCCTAAATAAGAATCTGTATTTCATTAACAAGATCTGTAGGTAAATCCCACTCACATTAACGTTTAAGATGCAGTGATCTAATGGGTCAGTTGGATCGAAGAAAGATTTGTAAGCTAAAATTATTTAATTCATTCATTCAACAAGTATTTTCTGAGACCTCAGAAATAGGAATGGATTTCTTTAAACATAATACAAGACCATCATAAAGGAAAATATTGATAATGAGGATGTCATTAAAGATAAGCAATAAAGCAAACCATGGAGTAAAAATATTTGCAAAAAAGAAAAGTAGGGTACCTAAATATGTTAAAGGAAGTATGGTAATGCTTAGGCTATAGCAATGAAACAAAGAAATCTCTAGCCTTATGGAATTTATTTTCTAACTAATGAAGACATAAATAAATAAACTGAGTAAAATCATGCAGGAGGGTAGACCCAGGGAGGTTGCAGTTTTAAATAGAGCAGACAGGAAAGTCCTCACCAAGGAGGTAAAGAGCCATAGACAGTCGTGGAGCTAGCTATAACAGTACCAAGGGGAAGTGTTTCAAGCAGAAAGAATAGAGAGAACGAACAGCCTGAGACAGAAGAATGCGGAAAACAGCAAGAAAACAAGTATGGGTAAGGAAAAGTAAGCAAGAAGAGAAGTAGGTATGCAGGGGGCTAGATCATGTGGGACTTTGTCAGCCATTTTAAGTACTGAACTGTGAGATGAGATGCCACAGGAAAAATGATAATAAGGAGCCACACAGGATATTGAGCAGGCAAATGACATAATGAAAAGTATTGTTAAGAAAACTGCTTTCCTAAAGGTAGATGGAATGCTTTAGTGGGAGAATCCAGCTGAGACTTTAATGTACTTGTCACAGTACACTGTACTTCTCAGTGTCAAAGATGCACCAAGTAGCGCGGAGAAGATATAAGCTAGGGTAATAACCAAGGCAACTGTCAGAGAAAGGTGAATATAAATGATATCGGAGGGAGGTGATCCCTGGAATAACGACAGATTTCATAGAGAAATGGCACACAAGTTGAAAATTCAGTTTTATCAATGTTTATGGATCATCTATTGAGAGTAGAACCAAGTGTTGACGCAGACTTGGGGGTGAAGATGGCTTGCTTAGACCCTACCCTACACCTTACAAATTTGAATTTCTTGAATTTCTGAAGTTGAGGCTAGCCCTGAGACTATGTGATCTAACAAAGTAAGAGTTTTTTTTTTTTTAACTTTAGAGTTTGGTCCATTTCCTGGAAACAGGAGCCAAAGCACCTCACTTGATTAGTATAAAAAGACAGACTTCAAGGGCCAGGGATTTAGCTCAGTGGTGCTGCCACTTGCATTGCAAGTGCAAGGTTCAGAGTTTCAGTTTGATCCCCGGTACCAAAGGAAAAAAAAACAAAAACAACCAAACAAACAAAAAAAGAGACAGATTTTGTTTGGTAGGGGGCAAAAGAAAGGTCTTAAATATCTTTTTGGATCAGTACTGCAGACTGCTCTTGGACCCCTAGTTTTCAGGCAGAGTCTTTCTGCTCTGGTTCTCGGTATATAACCTGGTGGGTCTTCCACTCTACCATTACATTCTGTAGCAGAGGTCTCAAAGTATGGAAACAGGAAGAAGGGAGATTAAGGAAAACAACTGGGAAAAAACGAATGTGAAAACTGCCTACCAGACTGCAAGGTCTGGGAAGCAGATGTAAATGTAATGCAAATGATATGTAAATAGCTGTGGCCTTCTAAAACGTTTTCTACAACTGGTAGGTCTCCTGGGAAACTGCTAGCAGATAACGGTGACTCAGAAACAGAGTGAACTATTTCAAGACAACTTTGTCACACAGACCGTTGCTGCCCTGCTAATACACTGCACATTCTTTAATAATCTTTCTTCTCACTTGAATAAACCTCACCTGCTAATAAATCGAAAGATATCATCTGTCTCTGTAGAGGTTATCTAAGTTAATTATATTTTTAAGATACACTTTATACCATTAATTTTTCTTCATATGCCCTTCTCACCGAAGCCAAGTTAAATGTGTCACTTCTACCCTAGAACAACATGTGCCTCCAGTGGATTATGAATGAAAGTGCCTCTCTTTCAGTTCTAGTACTATGATCTTTTAGAGGTTTTTTCCCCCCTCTACTCCACAGGAACTGGCATATGCTGTATTCAAAGCGAATATATATCCATAGTTGTGAAATCCAATTCTTTTCAAGAACTCACTGAAAAGCTATTCATCAAGGCTCCTCGCCAAGGGGCCAGGGATTTAGCTGAGTGGCGCTGTGCCTGCTTCTCAAGCACAAGGTCCTGAGTTTGATCCCAGGTACAAAAACACATAAATTAATTAATTAATTCCTTGTCAAGAGTGTTGTAGTCTCAGCTATCCCAAGTACACATTTTAACATGAAGAATGCACATTTGACCAACGTGGGGGTACATTTCTGTCTACATTTATATATTTGAAAAGAGGATGCGTCCTTCAGATATGCATTTGATAAGAACCACAGTATGAACTAAACAGTAAGCAAGGTAGAAATCACATTAGACCAACACAGGAACAATTTTCTTCGTTACAGAACCCAGGGGACTTGCACATCAGCCCCTACAAGTTCCTTCACTCTTCTTTTACTCTTAACATTTGGGGGTGCCCTGGATTTTGACAGCAGGGTCAAAAGAAAGGAAATCCCTTCCATTTTTCAGTTTTTGAAGTCTCATGTGAAAGAACCACACTGTCAGTTCCCAAAAGCTACCCAGCAAGGAGGAATCTGGAATGATGCCACGTTCGTTCAGTGTTAAACAGGAATAAAAAAGCAAAGTCGCGAAATCCCAACAAAGGAGAGGCTGAAAAAGAGAGGAGGGGAAAAAGGACAAAAGCGAAAGAAAGATGAGCCTTAAGAGATTAAAGAAATGACAGCGCCAGACAAAGAGTAACAGAGAAGAACACCCAGGGGCGGTGCTGCGGGCCACAGGGATTCCGGGGTAGCGCCGGGCAGGTGGCGAGCGCCCCCACCGCGGCCGGGCCGCCTCTTACCTCCTGGGCGAGTTTCTGCTTGAGCACGAGCGCGGCACACAGGTAGCCCGCGCGGCCCACAAACAGCTCGTCGGAGCCGCACTCCAGGAAAGAGACGGGCGCGCAGACGGCGCACAGAGC